CGCGCGCGTATAGCTACCGGGGGATCCCCGCGAGGGGCTCGGAAAGCTAGCACCGTTACACTACACCTTCCAGGCGGCGCCGCCCCCAGCTACCGCCCCCTATTTTGGGGGCCCTGTTCCGGCGCCGACGGCATCGCTGGGCCCATTCCCACGTACGGGCTTCGACCAGACGCGGCTCCAGGCGCCAGCCCCCTTCCCACCGAGGCCTCGCCGGAGTACGTTTCCCGGCCAATTTGTCCCGGTTCAGCCTTCTAAGCCTCTGCTCATTGACGATTTCTTGACCGTAAATGCTGTCAATGCGGTCAGAAATGCTCCTAATAAACTGTTGTATGATAACACCACAGGCACTATCTCGTTCCAGCCGGATATGTCCGGCATTTCCGCTGAAAAGATTAAGTGCCCCGATATCCCGGCATACATGAAGGCTTCTGAACGCATTAAATCGTCCTTGTTACATATTGGAGCAATTCAGGGACCCGATTATGATCGATATATCGAGTCGTGTATGACCCTGCTGTTGGATCCCAAATGTGGGGGCAATGGTTGGCCTTTCGACACATTCATCGAATTTGACATTGCCCATAGACTTCAGCAGTGGACCACCGGGGCCTCGTTCGACATTCTCTGCCCAATGCGCATGGCACATTTCGCGGCTATGGCTGCCGCCAAGGCTAGTAAACCCGGTCACACATTTCTTGAAGCAGGGACCGGCACCAGGCGCTCCGCAGGCAACCAGCGTGGCCCCCGGGGGCCTCGCATGGACCGGTGCTTCACTTAGTTCAACACCGGGGCTTGCGACCGGGGCGCCGCCTGCCCCTTCATCAAAGGGCACAAACCATGTCCCTGCGGCGACGCCCGAGTGCATGCCCCTGGCACCTGCCCCAACAATCCCCGCCGCAACGCTGACGGACCAGCCGCCAACAACAACCCGGACCACGCAGGATAACCAGTGCCCGGGGCGTTGGCGGGCCTTCCCTCCCGAGCAGGTGGAGTGGATCGAATCCTTACGTAGATTGCGTCCGCTCAATCTTGAAGCGTGGCACACGGAGCTTCGTCATGACGAAGATCGAGACTTTTTGCTATATTTAGTTGATCACGGATTAAGTCTGACGAGTGGTACGGACTTTCAGCTAGCACCTTTTAAATGTAATAATTACAGGTCGGCATATGAGTCGCGCAGACAAGTACAAGAGGCTTTGGATCCTGACATCATTGCGCAGAGAATATTTCGGCCCATTGCTGGCGTCACTTCGCGATTTGTGCATGCTTTAGGTGCGGTCCCTAAGACCGAAACGACGGTTTGTGTCATTCATGACCACTCACGGCCAACGGGCCGCTCGCTAAATGATGCGCTGACGCAGGCGAATTTTTCGTTCCAATCTGTGGACGACGCCATAAGGCTGATGAGCCCCCAGTGTTATATGGCTAAAGTTGATATTGAAGCTGCTTATCGTCATATCCCGATCGACCCTTATGACTGGGATAAATTAGCCTTTTGTTGGCCAACGGATTCTTTAGAGGACCTGTATTTCGATGGTTACCTTCAATTCGGTCTGACAAACGCGTGTGAAGTTTTCAATCGCATTGGCCGCGCCATTATTCGCATGATGGCTCGGCGCGGTTTCCGCGTTATCGTCGTATATGTCGACGACTTTATTATCATTTGCCCCGATCAGGCAATGGCTTGGTACGTATTTTGGGCACTTCGGATCCTGCTTGGGAAACTGGTGTGACGTCTGCCCTAAAGCCTCAGCTATAAAGCGGCAATACGACCAGAGAACGAAGCGGAAACTCTGTCGCCTATGCAGCAGCCATGGAAACCCTGGAAGCGCCCTCTTGCAG